TGAGAAAGTCTTCTTTGATCTCCCATCCCTGATAATATAGGTCATCTCTTCTGGGGGGAAACAACAAAAAACAAATGAGGTGGAAAACATCCTTCAGCCCACCTTTTGGGAACGAGAAAGCAAATATGTAACAGAAGTATCCTAGTTGACCTGTTTTTATTATAGTCTTGATCCTTGGTGCTCTGAATGCAATGGATTGCCAGCCTGTTTGCAGATGAGAGGAAGAGGAATTTCTGAAATGTGAAATATCACATCTGTCATTTCCCATCCTGCTGCCTGTATTTGGAGCCCGTTCACACTGGGTATCCATGGCAACAGTTTTATAATGCCTCACAAAACACCTCAGAAGAGGTTCCTTTTTATCTGGGCCAGAGAGCTGGGACAGAGAATCAAATGTGAGAGCAAATGTGACAGGTTACGGGTTGTACGGAGAGCATACCCTTTTCAGCTTGACAGATGGAAATTAATGTGAGAAACAACAAAGAGCTCACCCACAGAGACAAGAGGATATCATCTCACATTGATCATTTTTGAGGCTCTACTTCTGCAGTTTTTTTAAGTCATAGAAAGGCAGTCATCAGTTCACATGCCTGGGTCTGAGACACTAGCATGGGCATTTACTACACCTGAGTATGTTCCCAGGATACTCCTGGACAAATCCAGTCATGTAGAATACAGCAGGCGCAAGCTTGATGGCATGGTAGAGTGTGGCCAACCGGGTCTTCTGCAGAAAAGAACCTGAGTCGATGCCAGGACTCTAAAGGACCAATCAGCAGTGAGTCCTGGGCCTTATTCATGCATGCAAATAAGCTCATCTGAGCATGTACCTGCAGAATGCACTTATTTCTATGGATACAGCAGGAGTCACAGGACATTATCTAAGCAGGTCAGCCAAGTGGAAGGAATGTGGTGTCTTTGTGCTGGCTGCAGGAGGTTCTTCGACCTTCAGTTATGCAATCATTGCTCAAGTCAGCTGAAAGCAGCAGGACAAGAAGCATAAAAAAAGATTGTGCTTAGAACCAGAATATTTCAGACTGTCTTCCTGAAGACAGCTTGATACATGACAACCACAAATCCTAACATACTGTATTATATTTAGATTTTATGTGACTGAAAGACCAAAACAAAGTAGTGTACAGTACAGTTGTATAGTGAAATCTAAATGATGCATGGTTTATTTCTCTCAAATATGAATCTTGAGATGATCTGGAGTTCCCAAATCTTGCCAGAGACTACAGTTGGGTTTAATTCTGAAATTCAAAGTTCTTATCTGATTGTTTTTCACGCATTTCAAGGTCACCTATAGTCATATATATGAATGAATATTGCCTTTAACACAGTGCAGTATACATATGTAGGGAAACCAAGAAGAAAAACACTTGGCTCCAAAGCAAACTTCTCTCTCTCTTCTGAAAGCTGAGCAAAGTCTCACCTTTGAGCTAGAAACAACATTTTGCCTCACATCTACCCTTCATGATCGGAGTTAGTGTGCATTTGTTTACAGTGCTGATGCAGTGCAGTCAACATAGGTGCTTCCTGGAGGGGACAGCTCTACATGGGTATGTATCATTTGCTTGTATTTGCAGCGACATGGAGGGGAATCTGCTCAGAAAGCAGTATTGATGAGGATTTCTCAGGCATGCATTTCGTCGCCTTGTACCTGTACCTGTGTAATGACAATAAAGTTGAATCTAATGTAATCTAAGCTAAGCAAGTGAAGTACCACTTTTTGCATTATTGCAATGAAGAAATGGCATTATAACAAATTTGACCTGGTCGCCCCTGGGTGGTTTAATATGTTTCCACCTTACAACTTGGAATGCATGAAAATAAAAACGGTAAAATTTGTACCAATATAGACTTGTTAGACATCGTTAAAAAGCTTAGATTCTCCAAAATTCAACCACCCAGTTCATTTTATGGACACAGCGAGCACAAGAGCACAATTAAAGCAGATAAAGCTGCATAGTTAAACAAAGGAGCTGCGATAACACACCTTTGAAGGCGTCCAGAAGCAGTATTATAAATCCAATCTTCAATTGTTTATACTCCATTCGTCCATTAGGGTCCACAGAATAAAATCCAGCATATTTGTAATAAAAACATTCCCTGATGAGAAAATCAATCCGTTTTTTTACAATCATAAAAGTTCGATTCTTACAGCTGATGCTAACCATTACCATAGTTTA